GACTGTGCAAATATGGAAATGACTTCCCGTGATCGGTACGAAGAGAAATGATTGTCTTGTGCAGACAGGACCAAGCCGATGAGATGAGTCGCGCTTTCATCTAAATTTCGTACATTTTTTTAATTTGTGAGTTTTGTGCCTTTATTTTAGTTAAAACACTTCTTTATTTTCAAGCATTGGCCATGTAACAGCAGTGATGAACAACAGAGCAGACTTGAGCCCCAAGCGATCTAGTATGTAGCTGGGTCAAGAGTCCCAACCTAGACGTAATTTCGGTTGTTTAAGGACAATACTACCAGACCTGGTCACTCTAAAAGTAGTGAAATTAGTCAAATATATGAATTCTTCATACAATAACTGTAAAAAATAGGCCAAAGAAAAGGAAACATATTTTCTTTCCCACAACAACGTTCAACCACAGTGTCTGGTGTGTTTCTAGGTAATATCTACCACGGAAGAATATATTTTTGAGCGACATCACAAAACCATCTCTGAGAAAAGTTACCAAAATTACCACGGTATTTTTCAAGAAGCAAATGGTAAACTCGCGATGTTTTCACCACTTTCTGCTGGTTTTCTGCTACTGCGGCTCAGCCCAGTTTTCTGCTACATCGCCAGAAGTTTTTGCGGCCCGACTACCTTCAACCTTGGACCATCTTGAGGTAGATAGTATGTAACGGATACTGCAATTAGTCGGAACACAAATGAATATTGCTTCGGTAAAACATGTATAGAAATAGATTTTCAATACGATTCGCGAAAATCTTTAGATTCGAATCTCGCTCCATCCCAATCACTAAGACGAGTAATAATTTCACAACGTCTATATATGCATCACGGAGTTGATTTTGAATTAAATGTAATTACTTTGAGCCACATATCATGTATTTGGAAAATTGTCAATCATATCTCCCTGCTACTTATTTTTTATACTGTGAAAAATTCTAATTGTACAGGCATTCAGGAATGCGAATTAAAAATTTTCTGTGGATAATAAAATATATAAGTTTGACTTGTTATATACTTGCTCTGTGATCTTCAAACCTACCTTACATACTAGCCCATTCATCAGAAATTTAGCAAATGTAAAAGTTGTGCATGTGGGATAAGTACTGTAAACTAAGTTTTCTCACTACGACTCCGAGTTACAAGGTAACTAAAGTCGTGTCCTGTCCCTTGGTGCCCAAATTAATGTCTTCAATCTATGCACCAACAACTAACAACTGAACAATACTGCAATCTGTACACCAACAATCCCGTACACTTGTGTTCAAAGAAACTTTTTTATCAGCCCTAAACACATCTTATGATGACGTCGAATTCGAAATAGGAAAACTCATCAATAATAAAATATATATACAATTGCAAAGCAGATTCCTGGATCCGCATTGTGCAATGAGTGTTTATTTTATGCGTGAATGTACTCAAAGAGCTTCAAGTAGACAGAGCTTCGCACATAATTAGAATTGGATATGCGCACTTTCACTTTTCTGACAACTTGTTGATCATCAGGGTCACAAGTTCTCCAACTTGGAAGTTGCGTTGAACATTGAGTCACTTCTGTCGTCACTGTAATTCGGGAAGATATTTTTTGTCAAGCGCTGCCAAAATAAATCAAGTAATCGCTGAACATGTCTGTGTCCTCTTCCGTATTCATTTGTTCGAGAGAACAAATCAGGTGGCAATTACTGTTCTAATCTATTTATCAAATTTGAGCTGGGAGTGAGGGCATTCAAGTCTGTCGGATCGTCACTTATCGGTGTGAGTGGTTTATCGTTGAGAATTCCTTCCACTGCTGTTTGAAGAGACCATAATAAGTAATCATTGAGAGACTGGCCATTAAACATAGCTCAAAGAACCAATCTTTCCACCACTCCGTTTTCATGAATAGAAAGAAAGAAGAGGTGAAAATTGCCACTGTATACCATTTTGGGATAGAGATGTGTCGATCTGTTGGGAATTCCATTGTCCATATTTTTATGAAACCACACAATACATTATTTCGAGAAGTGAGTATTCGTGATAGTAGATTATTCAGTACTGGCCATCCCTACCAATAAAACTTTTTAATACCAACGACTTGCTTAGACAGAGATGTGACATACCATGCAGCATATTGTTGGTTAATTTTTCATACCAGCTAAGATAGCAAAAATACCATTATAGATATGTTGAAATAGTATGCAGAAGTACAAAATTGCACTATACTATAAATGTTATTTTTATTTACCTTCAGGTTTAATTTCAAACTCTGGTGCTGAAACCTTGCCATGTATATGCAGACATAAAGGCAGTTAAGAGTGATAAAATTGATACTATAAATACTAATATATATATTTGATGAATAATATTGATGGAACTCTTAATAATGAAGTAGGGTCGGTCTCCAATCGAGCGTATATTTTTCTCTCTTCGTTGGCTTTCCTTTTTTCGGTAAGAAAAATATAGTCATTTGCGAATAGCTGTAGGATTTTCAATTGAGACTTCAAGAACTTAAATCTAACAAAGCATTGCATAATTAGTAGCAAGTATGGCAAAAATATAGAATCGTATATATACTAAACAATACAAAATCGCATAGTAATGAATATTTTAAACAAAAAATTCCTGACAAAGTATAATTATTTTTATTATTAGTTGTTCGAAACCCCCTGATGTGATTTTATTGTGTTTTCTGCTGCGCCGTCGACAGCCTTTGATGACAATCCACACGCTCAGGGAGCAAGAAACCATTGTGTCCCAGGTAACGTAGTTTCATTTTATTAAGTGAACAATCTAGGGATTTCCCGTTTTTTTTTATATACATTGATTTAGTAATTCACGTATTTTGGGATCATGTTATGTAAAATTTTATTTCAACCAATATTCGAAATCACTATAGTTAGTCGTTATGCTTTCTTATTGCAAAAATACTTTAGTGGGATTTAACTGAAGATCGCAGTTGGATACCAGGCTTCCTTCAATCAATTTTTTAGGTAGGTTTTATGCCTGGGACTATCGTTTTGGACAATTATCCGATCGCTATGGAAGAAAGAAATTTCGGTTATAGGTGAGAAAATTTATTTGCGACTTCTGCGATTTTAAAGTAATTAAAAGAGCATTTGAAATATATTTTCAGGATACATATTAGTTCTGATATTTCAAGTTATCACTGGACTTTGTCAAAATTGGCAACAATTTGCAGTATGTAGAGCTATATCAGGCTTCCTTGTTGGCGGTTTAAGTGTTGTGACAACTATACTTATACAGAAACTACGGGATCGAAGCTTTGGGTCCTGAACGGTGAGTACAAATGACTCCAATTCCATTTACTGGTACAACAGGAATTGCTTATATGACTTTCATATGATTTTAATCCAAAATGAATAAATATTAATTGCGAAAACCAATAAGCTCGACAACAGCTATAGGACTGAATGAATCTATTTTCAGGTTCTCTCGGTGCAATAGGATTCACCGCAAATATGTTAGCGTTTCTATGGGTTGCCTATCTTTATCCTAGTTGGAGACAAATGTATTTTATTACAACTATACCTGGAATTCTTGGATTTGTTTTTTTATAGTAAGTGAAAAAATACGTTAGTGAATATATTTGAAGATATAAATCGCATTTTCTCAATATTGATAAAATATGGCAAAGTCCGAGGGAAAGCGAAATGGATCTCAAGCTTTCATATCGAGGATGTTTAATTTTTTGTATTATTTAACGATGGTGAATTGGATATAGCATTGTGAAATATTTATATATCCCGTGCTAGTTCTGTCGAAATGCCAATATTTTCAATACTGCTAGTCCATACATTAGTAAAGTTTAAGTGCATATTACATGAAATTGATGCAGAAATTTAGCTTAACACCTTTCAGCATTGTCCCAGAGTCGCCGCGTTGGCTGTTGTCTCGCGGTAAACCAGACAGCGCAGAAGAAGTGATGCAAAAACTATCAAGGTGGAATGGATCGCCCCACACAGGTATTTTATATTATATATATATATATGTGATTATGAACAAATATTTTGGATGCCCGCAAATTTGAATATCACTCAAAGATATTTGCTTACGATAATGTGTAATTGCTGATACGTAAATTCTCCTATAATATGATTCTAATATTTCAATAACGCTTGATAATTATTATTAATATATTAAAAATATGCTCTTCTGCCGGGGAACCGAGAACGCCAAGATGAGGGACATCAAAATGAAAGTACGTATATATCAAACGCGGATTAAATAATTCTAGATATACGTTTTTTTTAAAACATTCTCACAAATGAAATTCACAAACACAGAATCTTCTAACCAGCTCCAGAAGATTTTAGAACAGCTATCTTGCCAATGTCGACATCAATAGAGATGAAAACGTCAATGAAGGCACGACATGGAATTATTTTAAACTCGTTTTAAATACCGTTCCTGGATGAAGTCAGATCTAGATGAACACTTGAATGAATGTCAAGATATTATATTTTTAACTTCCCAAAAGAAACATTTACATCATAGGACAGAATTGCTGAACAGTTGCAAATGTAGGGATTAAACAGAATCCCCAGGATTGACTGACCAGAGTGTCGTTGACCTACTCTGACTCGTAATCTTAAGCCCACGCTTTACCTCTCAACACCCACGCGAATGAATAGACGTTAAAACCTCTATTTGATTTCATTCGTAGTTTTTCACGATATACAGAATACAATTTTAAAACTTCTTAAAACTAGAATCGGCTCACATTGAAAATCTATTGAACGGTATATATGTACGTTGATCAAATAACGAATTAACATTGAAAACGTGACCTCGTGATTCACGCCATGAACAGAAACTCTTATTAATTAACTCTATACGGGTAATTATGTACGTCGTGCGGATGGGATGTGTTTAAAATTTCTGAGAAAATGATATGACACAACGAAGTTGTTCTTGGAAGCTAAAGTTGTGTAACTTGTTCCTACGAAACTTAAAAGTTCCTACTAAACTTTAAAGGTTATATTTCACTAGATCGTCTAATGCTACAACAAAATTATGAATATGCACAACAAGAGCAAGATGCCTCAAGAGACGAGGAAGGCTCAATTATAGATTTGGTAAGAAAACCTGTATTGCGATACAGAGCAGCCATTTTAAGTTTACAATGGTATGTATAATTTTGCATAGCTAAAATTGACATAATAACATCCGTAATGTGTATCTATACGACCAATCTAAATGAGCGTTATACCGAAATGAAATAGATTGGACAAATATTGTTCGAGTATTTATATAAAAAAATAGCCATGTGTGAAATCCGTCTTCATTGTATATCCGGTTAGGTTTGTTTATCTTGACTCAAATCACGTTGTATTTTCAGGTTCACCGCAAGTTTTGTATTTTACGGCATAACACTTGGTTCTGGATCTTTTAGTTCAAATTTTTATGTTGCATAGTTAATATCGGGATTGAGTCAGCTTCCATCAATACTCTTTACGATTTATCTTATGGAGAGAAGATGGTAAGCCAATACCATAACAGGAAAAAATCTCGAACTCACCATTTGTTTTGAACTTTCATAAAAATCACGTAGTCAAAATCTGGGACTGACAGGCTGATAACTGGAATGAGTCCACCAAAAAAAAACATCTATTCGTTCTACTGGTAAAAATTAACCTACAAAATAACCGCAAAATAAAGCGAGAATCGTTGAAAGTGAATGAACGAACAGATCATATGAAAATGAGTAAAGGCATCGTGGTGAAATTATAAACCGGCCGCGGGATTATATTTATATACTGATATATTTGACTCCATAAAAAATGGCCACATCCATAGAAAATAAGCAGCAAATTCTATATTATTAGTATATAACGCAAGAAATTGAAGAGGTGTTGCTAAGTATACTCAGTTGATTGTATTTGTTCAATTCTTATCCCCATATATATATATATAGTTTTAATCGATTTACTCAATACAGGGCTGGTAGAAGACGAACGCTGGTCTGCTTCATGGGTTTAGCTGCACTGTGTATGTTCGTCATGTACATCGTTTCCTTCGGCCAAGGTAATTTCAAATATTTACCTGAGAATAGCAACCTTACAAATTTGAAAATATGTTTTTTAATGTAATTACTTGGATGCCTACTGAACAGAACAGTTTTCGTTAAGTCGAAATGATGCTTGCGGACCCACAATAAAGTGCTGTTTACGAAATTCTATAACATAAACAGAATTTCAGGCCAAATAGTCTGTCATGAAAATATACATTTAAAGATTCGGACGAAAGTAAAGTACATAATACATAAAGCGGGGCCTGGTTGGAGCAATTTAATTAACTGCTCTTCCATGTTAAATCCAGTTTTAATTGATCAAATGTATTTTAATTATATAGTGTAAATTTTGTCTCAAATGACTATAATACATACGTATTATAAATTGCTGTAACTGAAAGATAATCTGTTTAACTGCAATTAGCTATAGCCGATTGAATGAATTTTTTTATTTCTCGTTAGACATCGTAAAATTTTTTTGATCTTTCATAGAGCATCAGCCTTCATAAACCATCCCGTTTCAGTCGACAACAAACCCGACCAAGATTTTTTTGGTAAAAACAATAATATTACTTTACTAAAATGTAAATCTGGAAATAAATGTAGATAAACAGAAAGATTAAATTACCGTTTTTCATTCAGATCGCTCAAACTACAAATTGACACTTTTGGTTTTCGGAAAACTGGGAATCTGCGGAGCTTTTGATCTTATTTACGTATATACTGCAGAACTCTTTCCAACAGTTGTGAGAAACGTTGGACTGGGCTCAATGTCGTTCTGGGCAAGAGTTGGTGGTGTAATTGCTCCATTTTTAGCAAATCTTGCGGTAAGTTTTTTATGAGAAGTACTATTGTGCAGCATCTGGAAGGTAACGGAACAAATATATCGTTGTCGTTATTATTGGACACGTTTAGTGGAAATATTTCTGTTAGCTCTGTGAGATTTGTTTTTGTTTGCTATGACGTCACCGAATGTTCTGCGGCCATTGGACGCCATTTTGTGTCCTACTTTACTGCTTCGCTTGGTGTGAATATATTTGTAGACTGTGATCTGACGGTACGGAAACCGTACTGTACTGCGAACAGACGTGTCCATATATTTGGGCGTAGCTCTCTTGTTATCGTTTTGTGATTACTTTTTCATTTGAAGGTGTTTTCTGGATCGAATGACCCATTTCTTGCCTTTGGTATTGTGGGATTATTGAGCAGTGTTTTTGCTGCTTTCCTCCCTGAAACCCGAGCCAAGTTAATTCCGAACACCTTTGAAGAAGCGGAACTACAAGAAGAAGACAACGACGAAAATAGTTGTAATTCGATAACATGCTAACATTGACTATGTCCTCTACACTAATTGAATATAGTTATTGTGTATCGTCTTGAATAAATTATTGTTCATCGTGTCTTTTCTTATTTTTGTTTTCCGGAATTGAAAAAAACGGCACGACGAACTTTGACTTGACTTTTCATAACGCAAATTAGCCGTTAGAGACAAAAATCAAGTTTTATTCTTCAAACTGCTAACAAGTGCCAACGGCCAACCAAAACAAACGAATATTTAAGGAAATGGGTCAATAACCAAGAGCAGTTGCCCAGCCTTCCTACACAAGCAGACCTGTATCATCGAATAAAACGTACAGGCGGACTACGATAGCAATTTTAATAATAACACGAAAGAAACAGAAGAATACGAAAATTAGATCAAACTGCATTTCAAAAGTCATGTCGTGGCTGATTTCGCTATTGCTATGATTTTAAGCAGTACGAGCGCGGCCCTTCAATTTTTCTACTCAAATATAATAATATGGCGCGGTGTGTGGATCATCATACGCTCGCCACCGCATCTCTGATTACTCTGCGGGATTCGCAGGTTCGAATCCCATGCGGGGATAATTGTGTGCAAGAGGATTGCTGGACTCATCGCGACTTCCTCTACCATCAAATCCATGCTACCGAAAACAAATACCGTAACTAACTAATCCCATACCCGACATGGAATGGTAACCGGACGAGAGGCCGTGGTTCGCCATATGGTTAAGCCGTCTTGTCGACTTTCCTCTCCCCGGGGATAAATATGTAAATCCTATAACAGACCTTCGGAGATCAGATTGGCGAACATTTTATTTCTCATAGACAAGCGGTCGGCAACCTGCGGTTCCTGAGCCGCATGTGGTGTGTTGTTCTTTGGCTCCCTTTAATCAAAGTGGCGGCTACAGCAGATTTTTCTTAGAAGCAGTGGGGAATACGCTATTCAAATCATTCTTAAAATTCAGGCTAGGTCCTATTTCCAGGGTAGGTCTTATTTTCGGCGAAATACGGTAGTAGTAGTAATAGTATATATAAACACTACCACTACTGTCGCCGTAGATTTGCGCGTTAAAACTCGAATCCGGAATCCAGACTAACCACTGAGTAGAGTAGTAGCATATTCCATGAGCAATAGTTTTGACTGGTGGAGCGTGAGAGAGAGAGGTTTAATATTTCGTCAACCAGAAAACAAGCATTTGTGAAACAATTGTATGATTATGTTTTTTCTATTATCATGAAAATAACTAACAGTGGCAACTTAATAAATTATGAAACATGTATATTATTAGATTTAAGACACAATAATTATGTACATTTGACCAATATAGAAAAAAATGCTATTATTTTATTGATATGTACTGCAAGATATAAAATTTGGTTGAAAAGAAATGCAGTGATTTTTGAAAATGTAATGCCAAGAGTGAATAATGTAGTCAATACTATAAGAAATTCAATAAGGTGTAGGAGAAATATAGAACGACTGAGAAATTTACCTAATTATTGTGAAGAACTTGATTTGTTATGCAAATATATATAAATATGACTAGAAGTGTTTATCGTAATGAAGTGGAACTAATTCTTAAAATTTTATTTTTCATGCATTAATTAAAATAATGGTAAATGACATCATGGAACATATAATTGATGTTAACAACAAATGGGATTTACAACGGATATGCTACAATACGGATACAGATGATCAACATTTATTATGGAATTTATACTGTCTCATCTGTATGTAATGATTTATATTATTATTTTATCTATAAAAAAAAAAAAAAAAAAAACATTAAGCATTGCTCATTTCTATTAGTTTTTTGAAAATAATATTATTGTATTTCATGAAATCAGAATTGGTTTCGCTCAATCACTTTTATATAGTATGTATGATGTATATTTATATAGTCTATATGCTACGTTATATCTGTATATACAGATATACTAATTTAAACCAGTACCGTAAACGGTACCGGTACCGGTATAACCACTGAACCAGCTACTGAATTACAGAATTAGGTAATACGGTAATAGTACGGTGTCGAACCGGTACTAGCCTACTAATACTGTAATACGGTACTTGTCGCTGTCGGCCTGTATTACAGTATACTGTACTTTTCTGCTATTACAGACATTCTCATTATTCAATCTAGTTAAATCCATGTAGCCTAGGCGAGTTACAAAATATTATTGTAATATTTTTCCAAGCTGTTTGGTACTGTTTAACTACATTTCTGCAGTTCAGACATTTGAATTCTATAAAAAGATTGTGTCGTCATCCTGATTTTAGTGTTGTAATTTTAAAATTTGAAAGGACATGGCCGAGTTATCAGGTTTGTTGTATATTTCATTGCGTTAATTTTTTTGTCTTGGTATATCAGTATATGGACGAAAAGCTATGAGGTTTCACAGCCAATTTACTAATTTATTTTTTCAGATTCATGGAGGAATTTAATAACAATGCTAATAGGGTGGTGTAGCCAGTCTGCGGACAATTTCATTCAAACCGCTATAAAACAAAAACCAATATTTCTAACCCATTAATTTTTTCACCGTAGGTGCATTGGCATTTATTCTACACGCTAAACCTTGAATTAACTTTCTACGACCAGGGGTTAAAGCTATACAAACCACCAAAGTACGACACTCTGAAGACGTATTTGCGACCGAACGACCAATGTGCGACCACGGATTTCAAGCCTTGAACATCGTTTCTGCTGCGTCGAGACTAGGGCATACGCAGCCATGCGTGAAAAAAATAGGCTTTTTATTGCATTTATGATTGTCATATATTTTAAGAACACGGTAATTTCGAACAAAATTTGTCAAATTATAAACAAAGCACCGCATCACAGCAATCAAACAGACAAAAACACGGTGGTCGCAAATTGGTCGACAAAGATATTTTCGACGTATGGGAATTGCGCACCCCCCTATTTCCCCTCCTTTAAATGTAGGAACGCGAAACTTTAAAGATGGTTAAAAGAAACACAACGCTACCCACCTGCCAGGTTTCATCTCTTTATCTCTTATATTTGTATGGATTTTCAAGCTTTTTTGAAGGAACAATGGGTAGTTGGCGACATGGAAAAATGGTCCGTTTGTTTTTCTTTGGTCGGGTTTTCGGTCGTAACTTTTTTGTTTGTGGCCGCATTTTTGTGTAATTTCGCAGAGCTATGAGGGATAAGTAGACGATAACGCGTGAGAAATATCATCGCGGTTCATTAATTTTTTCGGCATTTAATCGATGAAGTTGATGGTCGCAAATAGATCGTGGCCGCACAGTGGGTAAGCCACCCTACAGTAATAAGCTTGATTATGCAGTTATGTGATATGGATATCCAGTCCATTTTCCTATTTATTAAAAACATAAAAAACAAAAATTGAATCGGACCACTTGTTCGTTTCAAAAATAAAAAGTTATATTCGCATAGAATAAAACTCAAAAAGAGCAGTTTTTAGTATGCTGTTGATCTTCATTTCAGCATTTGCGCTGAATACATAAACCCCATAATATTATATGACGAAAAAATATTAAACCAGAGGAAAAATTTAATCAACTTTTAACCATTGACAACATGTGATCTGTTCGTTTCAAAACTAAAGCAATTTTATTCACAGAACATAGTGGTCGCAAAGAGCAATTGTGCCATGCTGTTCCATTTCAGCATTTGGACTGAGTACATAAACTTGATAAGAAAGGAGAGTAATTTCATTATTTTCTGTATTTAGGAAGTGTTCCACCGTATTACAGAGATGTGTATGATACGTTATGTCCTGGACAAAATGACAAAATAACCCGAGAAGTTTTAACTCAAGTTCTTTTGAAATCTGGTTTAGAGAAATCAACTCTTAGTCAGGTAATAGAATTGTGTCAATTTTTGGGCATTTTAGTTGTACTCATAGACTGGCAAAAAAATTTTAGAATAAATTTTTTTTAAATAAAAATTTTAGAATAAACAGCTGCATGCTATTTTAATAAAAATCCTTTTGCAACTAATTTCAAGCACACTCGGACTGATACAATTATTTGTAACAGCCTTAAAATCCCAGTATCAACAAGCATAAATAACAGAAGAGAAATTGTAAATTAGGTACGAGAAATTTTACTTTTCCCAATACTGGATAATTTTCTAGCAGTCCGCCTGTGATTTCATGATACTAACCACTTGTCATAACTCATTAAGATATGTTGTTACATTTTTATTACCGAATTTGTCTTTAAGTTTGGCTAATACAGACCTGATAAAGTATGTGTAACAACTAGGAATTTGAGAATAGAGCCAAATTCGTTTTTAATTTGATTCAACCAGATTTTGTTTGGACTATATTTTAAACATCGGCTAGCAATTGGGTCATTAATTTGTTCGGCTTCTCCGAATTGTGGGTTTGATGATAACATGTTTTGAAAAAATAAAGATGAAACAAATTACAAAATTTCTTTGCAAAACATCACCAGACCTGTGATTATATTTACTTACTATACAGAAAACGGTTGCGAGTGTCCACCGCTCAGTTGTTTCCCCTCGAAAAGTGTGATCATAAATTTATACTTGATCAATTTGAAGCATCCATGCATTCAATTACGGTCTCAGATTCAACGACTTACAGCAGGGGTCAGCAACCTACGGCCTGCGGAGCAATATAATCCGGCCCGCGACGCTTCGCTGAATTATAGTAACAAAACAGCTGTTTTGACGATTATAATCTTTACGTAACAGAATTTATTGTGAGGCACGTGTGTAGACTAATTTATATTATAACCTAACAAGTATTTAATTCACAATTACTCGTTTAATGAGCTCATAATTAAATTATAATTAGACAAATGGCAACAAATCGCAGAAAAGTTGATGCTAAATGCAAATGATTTAATGGCGCAGGAAATGTTCAATCTTCGCGTGCTGCTTAAAACTTAACATCTAGCCTGTTTGAAAAAATGTGATTCATCGGCCATCCGTTTGGTTTTTAATCTATAGATATGTGCGGCCCGCCAATGACTTGCAACCTTTGATTCTGGCCCACGAGGGACGAAAGGTTGCTGACCCCTGACTTACAGGATAGTAGCATTTTGCAATTGGGTACTTTTGTTTTTGTATAACGCTTCATTGTAATAGTATATAAAATGGAGAGTTTTGTTTGTGGATTTTCATGAATGATCACATATCCATCAATTCATGTCAGGAAAATTTTTCTATTCTTTATCAAATTGTTTCTTTTCAGATATTGGATTGTATTGGTTGCAAGGATGGTGTTGTTACACGTAGTGTTTTATATAAAGCATTGGCTCTAGTAGCTTTTGCCCAACAAGGAAAGACAGTCAACGAAAAACTGCTTGAAAATTTCTCTGGCCAAGGTCAATATCATTGCTACAGATAACTGTTTCTTTTTGTATTTTACGTTGCATGAATCAAGAGTTATTTTCTGTTAATTCAATAAAATGGGAAAATTTGTTACGAAATAATAATAAAAAAATCTTTGGTTTTTATATGACATAAATATTAGATCTCCTTTACACTGATAAGTCCATAATATTCGGTTCAATTTATTTATTTTATCGAAATTATCAACAGTATTAGAAAATTAGTGTTGAATTCTTACAGAGTTACCGAAGCCACAGCTGGGAAGCATTCAAGAAATTAAATCCTCACTGTCACAAAAGAATAAAAGTCCTACGTTATTGCAAATGGACTTTTGTCAAATATGTGCAGTTGACAAAATTGAAGTTTTGAAAGCTCCAGAGAAAAAGGGAATTTTCTTAAAACATGTTGAATATGAGGTTAAAAGTACAGTAAGTTGAATTTTGTTTTCTTTGGTGAGCACATTCCTCGCATATCTAGGTTAGCTTATTCATAGATATTTCTGCTTGCAAGATATTTCCATCTACAACCATGATGTCTGTAATTTTTGACATGAATAGGATTGGTATGGATCATCTGTCATTTCTAATGATATTTAGTAGCAAAATACATAGGAATTATGCCCTGGGGGTGTAAACCCAAGTGCTGGTTGCATATCTATTTCATTAGGTGTATGTGATAATGAATATTGTGATAAATAAGTTGTAATAATGCTTTAGATGAAAACAGATTTTTGTCATTTTTCGAAATAAATAATCTTTAATAAATTTGTTTTAAGACTGACAGACTGGTTATGATAATTTACCTGATGCAATTTTAGCATCTTTATGTAAACAAACTGCCATTCAGGAAGTGAAAGCTGAATAATCCACCCACTATTTACCACCAAATGTGGCATTTTGATATTAGTGTTCTTTTAGCTTATTCAAACTGTGAAAAATTGAATTTCCGAACTCTAGAAAGCTATAATAAATAATTTTTGAATTTTAAAATGGTCTATCTTTAGGTTTAATTCTGTAATTACTACGCCTTTGCACACACAAATAAAAATTGCTTTATTTTAAAAATAATTTATTCATAACTTTTGCAATTTTATCATTTTTCATTTGTCTTTTCAGAGGTTTAACAGTACAGTATTACGAAGGTACAATGACTTCGTAGCATTTTACGAAATGTTACAAATGAGGTTTCCATACAGAATGCTACCGAAATTACCACCCAAGAAGGTCATAGGAGGTATAAAGATTTTTTTTCAGGGGGGGGGGTGGCTCTGTCTCGCCAAAATCCTGTAAAATAACAAAAAGACTGTTATTAATCATTGTTTTTTCTGTGTATTCAAAAGGAGTACCATAAAAAGCCAAATGCTCGATTTGGGGTATTCAAGTAATATCAATATTGTATTTTGTGGAAGATGATGGAATTGTTAAGCTAGTATTATTTAATTTTTCTTTCGCTAATAACATTCAAAAGTCAGTTTGTAGATATCATTAGAACTGATGACATCATTTCTTCTGCTGACTAATTGTTATAAGTGTGAACCAGAAGCATTCATTATCTTGGTTTTGTCTAATATGTGATTTCATTAAAAAATTTTGTTTTTGGTCATGCAATATAATTTTACTAATTTCAGCTGATAAAAGTTTTATTGAAGCAAGACGGAAATCATTACGAAGATTTTTAACGATCGTCTGTTCTCATCCTGCAATGTATCAAGACCCAATCATAAGATTCTTTCTTACGTTTTCCGGAAGCGTAAGTGGGCGCTCTTATTAATATTACAATGTTTATAATCATGAATATTTGACATTTGTACTATAATTCATCTGAATGAATCATTCAGATCTGTGATCAAATTGGTTATAAAGTTTTGTTGTTATTAATCTTTTCAATGCGACCACAAGAATTTTTATTACTCAATTTCAGAAAAATGTTTTTCTATTTTAAGTATGCGTCGAAATTCAAGAAGTAAATTATTCTTCATATTTGATATTTAGAATTGAATTTTTTATATACCGCATAGTTTATGATTCTGAATTCTCATATTTTAATGTTTAAACTGGAGGTAAATTGCTGTTGTAAGTTTATAAGCAATTTTGTTGCGGTTCCAGTATTTATCGCAATGATTTTTTTTGTAAATTTATCAAAAAATTTATATCAGTAATCAGTAATTTATTTTTTCACCATGCTGAAAAAATACGAATTCTACATACCACAATTTAAAAGAAATATATAAAAAAAATCACATTTCAGGGTGAAGGGAGACGCCGAAAACCAAAGCTGGTTATCGAGCGGCGACACCATTGAGAAAGTCTAACAAAACGCGATAAATACAATAAAGTCGAACAAAATATGTTATTTAATAAGTAAAATGAAGGAATAAGGCTCTCCAAATATGTATTATTTTGCATTGAATAAACTTTTTATCAAACAAAAGCTTGTAAACTTCGATAATAAAGTATTGTAAAGCATGTATATTATGGTAGGTAGACGGTCTGTTTAATAAGTGACTAATTCTATACATCATGCATTATTTGTCAAACAGTGAGGTTGTATACATATAAATTTTGCAAACGTGCAGTATTCAGCAAAATGATATAGTGTTTGTTGCATGATAACATTGTTTGATACATCTTTGAATAACAACGTTTTATCATGTGACATTGCAAGCCTCATTAAATTCATCACAGAATAGTTAAATATCATGTAATTCAAATCTGATTTTTGTAGATTAGTGCTGCAGTACTATTGGTTTTTATTAATTCAGTTGTTTAAATGGCAAATGCGCTATTGTAGCCATTTTTAAGTACAGATATCTATATCTATCCATCGCCAATTCTATGATATTCTATGTTATTTTCCCATTTCTGTAACCGTAATCTTAATTTATTTTCAGCAAAAATGCAAATTTTTTTGTGAGAAAACACTAATATTTTGGCCAGATGACATTGCTTCGAATTTCGTTGTGGTTGATTTACTTGACTTTAATTGAAAATTAGTTTGTATTGAGAATAAAACTTTTTGAGATTAGCTTCTTTATACTCCACTCCTCATAAAATAGTTCATTTTGTTATGAAAACAAGGCAACTTGCTCTTGAATAAATGAAAGATGTTTTATACTTTTTTATTTTCGATTGTACTGTAAGAATGTATGAATGTTCTTAGCGATTTGTTGGCTTTTGTAGCTTTTATAAATCACTACATTTCGTTTTATTTTTGTCACAGGAAGTCGTTCACAAAATTAAAGATCAATTTCGGGGCTGCGCTGATGAGTTTCAAATGAGTCCACTAAGTAATGAAGCAAAAGTATGTTTATTTGTGTTTACCATAAGCTTAATACTGATATATTCAATCACTAATTGCTAATTGTGATTTTTCCAAAGGATCTTGTGCCTGCTGACACACAAATGCAATTTGCTTCAACTAAAGACCAAATAAAACAAGTAACAAATCATGTTCTGGCTATGAGGGAAATGGCAACAAGAATTACTGACAGATCAAAAGGAAATGCTTTCGATTTTCATGGATTTGGTAAAGAATTAGTGTAAGTGGGATTAATAACTTCATGATTTTTGGTCAGATTGCAGACATTTATGTGGGAAACTTTTTTTTGTGTGCAGTGTATTGTCTGTCATAGAACTTAAGATTTAAGAAAAAGCTGAAGATACAGCCAAAAGTTATGAACTTATTATTTTGAATGTAGGGCTGTTTCATATGAAAAATCACTATACCATTTGAAGCCCCTTCGTAAAAGTACACAAGGTTACCTAGAAAAACATAGATTTCATAATTCTACAAAAATGAAGAAAATCTATTTAACACCTGAACTTCTGTTTGCGTATGGTTGTACCCAAAATTGTCAGTAATCAGGGACAATTAGCATAAAAGTTCTGTCTGGTGTTCTGTGTAGAATATGTTCCAAATAACTTGGGTTATGCTTTTGGGTCGCATCATTGTTTTGACAGATTTTATAATTTTACCAGCATTGATTCGGGACAAATTTTGTTAATCTATTCTATAAATGGCTCATAAAAATACCCTAAAATTTTGATTAATAGAAAATAACAGCAATTTTCTGATATGAATATATATATTTAACCGATATATTACTAAAAACAATAATAATAAATCCTCTGTCAGTGTTATCTTGCTCCCTTCATATTTCTCGTGCAATAAACTAAGAATTCTTTCTTCTTGAATTGAAAATACATAAAGTGATCTGAAAAAGTAAGATCGGTTGGATTTATGGTTTATCAATAACAATATCCCTACAGGTTCTTTATTATACTTAGTATTTATGTGCCTTTCTCTTTGAACGAGGCTCAGCACAAGCAGACACATACGCTTTTCGGTTCAAACACGGTTTTCTACAAGCATTGGTCGATATGTAAAGATCTATGCTATTGCATTTCAAAAGGACTCGAATCTTGTCGGTTTGGTATTGAATACACAATTTATTACACCCTAGACCAGTGGTTTTCAAGCTTTTTAAGCCTTGCCCCCTTTTTAGTATTTTGTCGAGTCTCGTGCCCACCCTAACAATAACTAGCTAACAAAAAGCTACAAATAACAGATAGTAAGGCGGTAGTATGCTTTATTCAAAAATGTGGATGACACGTAAATATCCAAAATAAGGCGAACAAGATCAAATCTACAAGATCAAATATTTTCATTTTTATTAGCTTTACGCATCTGCAGAAAATTGTTTACGCCCCACTGTTTGAGAACCACTGCCCTGGATAAAGGGGTAGGCATGGGATTTGAACCCGAGATTTTACCCTGTGATGCAATTACTGAGACAACTTATTGGGTCATAACAATCTTGGTTGTGCAATCAAATATTACTTACTTGGAATATGTGCAATCATTCCTCCAAATTTATCACCAACTATAACGTTCCACGGTCCATTGAACATATCATCTAATGCTAGTTTAATAAATTCAGCCATATCTTTATCGCTCTGAAAATATGTTGAAAACTTATAACTGAAAAATTAATTTGGTTTCAATGTTTATGCAAAAATTTTCTAATACTGTAAATATTCAGCTGTATTTAAAGTTTAATTTAGCAATGAAATAGAGTTGATGCAAAAATAGTTACTTTCTTGTTTCATAGTTCTTAATATAATTGTGTTATATTATAACTATAAAGCAGCTCTATGATGATCATTCCTCCTATTGGAATGAGAGATTGTCAACTTTTCTTCATGTATCTCAATTAATATTTTTTGCTGTTTTTCAAAGTATTCTTTGTTTTTGCTATTGCTACTTAAATTATAAAATTGCAGCATTTTACTGGTGATGTGCTTTAGTTAATGTAGGACTACTGTGTTTTGATAGCTTTTGCATAATGCACCCCATGAATCTGTCTTTGTATGCACTGGTATCGTTGTACTGATAAATATGTATCACATAATCACAACATACCTTACATCTTTTTATAGCATCCTTCACTATTTCAATAATCCCCTTCTCCTCTTTTGGACCAATTTCTTTCTTTTTTATTATCGGCTTCGCAAATCCCACCTATATTTCAGAACAGCAATTAAACAATAGGAATCATTTTTAATTCTATTGTTGACACAGAACATCAGATGAGATCCACTTACCATATCTGTATGATTCAGCTTGGGAGGTTATCTCAAAATTGAATGAAATTGAATTGCAATTTGATTCTTCATCCAACTCTTTTACCCATTATGAGGTCATAAAACCTGTTACCATTATGATGTCATGAACATATTTTTTATCTTGTACTGGTGCAAATGATAGAATTGTTTTGTTTCATTACAGTGCTTTAGGTGCAGACACTGCTGTATTATCATCTTGGGCCACAGGTGGTAATAACCATTTGCAAGTACTGAAGCAAACATTTCGAGGATTGTCGGGAGAATTTAATGCAATTTCAGAGAAACTCGTGCTACAGGTTTAAATTAGGAAATTTGTTGCTGGAATATCTTAATAAAGACTTTCACAATCATAAATGTTTGAATTTTGTAAATTTCAGACCTTGAGTCTTACGTCTTCTTTATCGTCTTATTATTTACTTTTACAGATATTTGCAAAATTAACGTTCGCTTATATATTTTCAGGCAACTCGAGAAGAGGAAGGACTGGTTGATCAACTTAATCTTTTGTATGATTTGCTACAAGCCTATCATGTTAGTAGCTGTGTAAAATATATTATTTATTAGTTTAGTCATAATATTGAAGAAACAATAAGCTTAGCTTTTTCATTCTTAAACTGACAATTTATCTCCACAATTTTATGAACGGTGCTAGAGCAGTGATTGGCAAACTGTGGGCCGCATCCTAATGGCGGGCCGTCGAGCATTTTCTAGTGGGCCCTTAAATAAATTACAATTATGAGCGGTGATACTCAAAAAACATCACATATAAATTTTTTTCGAAATGGTTTTTGTTCAGATATCAAATGATCATACATTACATATATCATTACGTTCATTTCAACTATATTATCGGCGTTTCAACTATTCTGGTCTGTTCATTCTCACGTATCTGGTTATTTTTTTGCGTATTTAAAATTGCGCAAGGTAATAATGTGTACCACCACGTTCAGTTGTTCAAGATTATTTCCTGTCTTGGTTTGTGTTCATGACATTCGGAATGTCCGTTAACAAGTTTATTACGTGGTTAAATTAAAAAATTTAACGAAATCCTGACCGAGGCTAACTAGAGATTGTTGGGCCTTGAAACTTTTTCCATTTTACTATTTGTGGCCTCATTTAAAAATCTCACTCACCACTGGCCTAGAGGATAAAGTGATTCAGGTTCTTCTAAATATTAGTAGGCCCTTACATATCATTAGATAGATATCAGTGACCGTTTGTATAGGGCCTTATTCAAACAGGCATCGCATAAAATACAGGTATATATTTATTGCATATATGCTAATTCTACTTTCAAGTTATCTTTTTAAATTGCAACACCTGGTTAGTGAAATCAATTGCTCTGTTGACAGGATCACCAATGAATTGACTTCTTACATAATATTTTCATACCTAGGATTTATGTGACAGACATGAGCGAGGTGTATTAAGAGAACATCATTCTGCGTTGAGAAAATATGGAGCAATGAAAAATAAAAGAATGGCAGCAACCATCAACAACTCAGAACAAGGAGCAATTGATAAAATTGAATCAAAAATCGTCGCTGTAAGTTAATTTTTCGACAACTCTCAAATAATATTCGATGACTCGTCATTTCATTGATAATAGTTAACTCAGCATAATCCTTTCAACAATTTCAACAATATTTAATAATGGATTGATGCAATGTATGTCTTGAAAATGTCTTGACTAAAACTGAACTGTCGAAAAAATATGGATAAATTTTAAAAAATCTTGTATTATATCGCACTGACCATACCAAACCTAGACCAAATTCAAAAAGACTACCAAACAAATTGGCTTCAGAACTGCAAATTCTCTTCCATCGTCAAAATGTTGTCAACAGTATCGTTGTGCTTATTTTACAGATCTTAGAATTAGAATAAACTGTGTTCCTTCGTACCTCCAGAAGTTGTCTCTCGGAATTTTTTTTATTTGTCGAACTTGGTTAGCTGTGAACTCTTCTCACCCGTTTACAGTCAGGGTACCTACCGTACAAAAAAAATCCTATTTATCCTAAAAATCCTAAATGTTTTTTTGAAAACTTTAGAAGTTATGTGAAATTTGATAGCTCATAGCTCATTTCATGTTCGAATTTACACTGCTTGAAGTTTCGCGTTAAACAGTATTTACTAACGGGCCTGGCATTTTAGTTGTCACCCACGGCTTCGCTCAGAAATCATTCTGTTTAAGCAAATATCCTACAAAGCAGAAGATTACTTTTTCTAACACTTTCTACAGCAAGAAAATGAAATTTTGACGCAAGAAAACAGGAATTATTATTCACTTCATTGCATCCATTTGGAAACGCAGCTCGTTCATACATACTTACAAATATTAGGTGAAGTTGTTACAATGCTCGTTGCTACCCAGGTTAAAGGTCATCGAGAGGTGAGTAGTCATCATGTGTTATGTATAATGGAATTGACAACGGTAACCATTGTCCACTCCTTTAAACCTTTTTGTTGTAAGAACTTTATACCAGAGTAGCACTAGCAGAAATAAAATCTGACTCCAATACAAAACATAGTACAAAAAACTTAATTGTTTCTAGAAAGCCATTTAAGATCTTTGGTAAATGTCTAGGCTTAAATAAATAATTCGATTCTAACCATTTTATATACTTTTTTTTCTTCAGATGTGTGAATTATGGGAGAGCCTCACCCCACGAGTAAGTGCCCTTTTATCCGAAACAAGCCCACCTACCAGTCCGAGGCCTGTGTCACCTGGCGGAAGTTACTAACATGTCCTAAAGCTTGTCTTGTACTCGTTATCTTTTACATTATGAAAAATAGCTCGAGATGTGATATGCAAAGTTGCCTCCATGATGCAGTTTATTATTCACCATCATATATTATATTCAATACTCGTTAGACAAAGTGAAAAATTTCAGATTTTCTGCGGAAATTCAGTGTGTATTGATTCACTTTTTCTCTACTTACATCGTACTTTCAACATATTATGCCAATTTACCTTTAATTGGTATCGTTGCTCAGTGTTTTTCTGTTATTTACTTGATTAAATATTAATGATTCAAAGTTAGATTTTGGTGTTTTTATATAATTTATTTCATACCTCTCTTATTCATTAATCCATCACAAATTAATCATATGTTGTCATGATATTTTTATGATAGGCCAAGATTTCAATTAATGTCAATAATATCTTGATCCATAATGAATATAGTAAGCTGCTAAAAACCAAACAAAATGATCAATTTCATTAATGACCTGTAGAAGAACTATTATAGCTTAGTTTGGCTGGATAATCAATTTAGCAAACCATAATCATTAATGTCTCATCAGTTAATTTAAAAAATGAAAAGATTTAAAATACTTCATATATTTTTATTTTATTTAGGAGAAGGCAAACTGTTTTTCATACTGTCTCCAAAATTGCATTTCTAAATCTATCCATGCAATCAATATGCTTGACACTACTATGAAATATTTCACCCTATTTGAAAGATATTTAGGTCAGTGGTTGGCAAAGTTTTTAAGTGCGGCCCAAAAGGTAAAATGGAAAAGGTTTCAAGGCCCAAGAATTTTGTTGAGAATTCAGAATTTAACCATGTAATAAACTTAAAGGACATTTAATTTGTTTAGTTGAAATGAACGTAATGTATGATCGTTTGATAACTAAAAACAAAAAACAATTTGGCTAAAAATTTATATGTAATGATGGATTTATAGGACTTTTTTGTGTATCCATAATTGAAATTTATTTGATGCCCACTGGAAAATGCTCGGCGACCCACGATTGGGCGCTCCAGAAGTATGTGTGCCAATATGGAGGTAACTACTTTTGTTCGCCCATTTTACATCAAATTGTGTAAAGGGACTGAAACCTATGGGCAGGCGGTATATTCACTTGTCTAACACAGACAGTCCCCAAACTCGTAATAGAACTAAAATAAAGAAAATCGGAATAAAATTATGGCCTAACCCTAACCTGGTACACATACTTCGGGAGTACCCACGATTGGGCCGCGGCCCATAGTTTGCCGGCCACTGATTTGGGTCTCAGTACATTTTATTTTAACACTATTCATTAGTGCCAGTGAGAAATTATATGTTTGGTCATTCCACTAAGGTTAATAAAAGTCATTTGAATCTATATTTTGCATTCCACATCATATTCCATCAATTAAGCATTCATAAACTGCATCACCTATGTTTGTTCCTGTTTTGTGCCTTATCTAGCATGCGTGATGCCATGTTTCATAAAGATAGTATAGTTTCAAGCATGTGCTGGTAACAACAGTTTACTGCATGTCTGTGTATTTTTTATCGTTTTCCCCAAGATTCATTGGCACTCCAGAAGTGTATGAAACAATGTGGAGGTAACTAATTTTCTACTTTCCATCAAGTAATGTAAAGAGACTGAAGCCTATGGGCAGGGGGTTTTTTCACTTGGCTAACACAGACAGTCCCCGAACTTGTAATATAACTAAAATAAGGAAAATCGGAATAAAATTATGGCCCAACGCTAACATGGTACACACACTACTGGAGTACTGATTCATCTATAGGGAATGGCATTTGTATTCGCTTCACAGTTTCTGGCATCAAGATTTTCACATACATCGCTCACATCTTAAAAAATGAGTTTCATATTTGTCGAATGCTGGTGCTCTATATACTCATTTTGTTAAAACATTGAGAACTCTAGTATTCAGATTTTTGAGTTTCCACTACTGAATTTGATCAGTGGTATTTTTTATAGGGTATTTACTAGTCTGTGACCCATAGCAAGGGAGTTCTGTACTAATTCACGGCATAGTATCTCCAATCCGAGTTTAGCTCTATTCTGATCTTACTGTGTGCCTTTCTTTTAAGAGGGTATGTGCAATATTAGCGTCTGATTGTAAGTTGTATCCTTTTATTACAGTTTATTCATACATTTCTAATGCTGCTAAGTACTGTCAAATTCTAATATTGTATAATAAATATATAATTTCTACTAAGATTGACATGCTAAACTATTTTAACATAAAAAATTAAGATCTATTTTTTCTAGAGTGAGGCAACTGGCAACTAAGAATGATATGCCGTTCAAAATGTATATTTCCAAATCTTATTTACATGAGGCATGTGATTAGAATCTGAACAACTCGATCCTGCGTTCACTCACACTCTTATCCCGACTTCTCGATGATAATATTTCGTAAATCACATATCAGCGAACAATTTCTAAACATATATGTGCAACTTAATGATCGAAATCGCCTGCTCTAATGAATAAACGCATCTGACAATCAACTTTCAATCAGTTTTCTGTGTGATTTTCAACTAATTTGGAGCATCCTTCAAGTTCACCTAAATCACTACCCAGTGAAGCCCCCACTTACCGTATTTATGTTTAGTCTGTGATCGCGAAAGCATGGCTTCCTTAGTACTGACTACTGTAATTGGTCGTGTCCCTCAAATTTCATACAATCAGTCAGTGCCAAGGTGTTATTGTTTAACATATATATTGCATTTGGTTTACTGATTTTTCTGTCTCCCGTCCTGAGATTGTGAATGCCCTGTTGATTTATCAAAAATTGTATTGTGATTATTTAATGATTTTTGCTTTTGTACATAACTACAAACTATTATAAACTGTTTCGCATTGATAATATTATACTATATAATATAATAAACTTCCCGAATGAAGAGTGTGCTTTTCTGATTGAGGAGATTAATGGTTGGATAGGATATCTTGTTCATGCTGGCCAGGTGAAGATATTTTCCGCATGACACCGGTAAGCAACGCTTCAACCATTTTGATGCATTGGAACAAACGGCGAAATATGAGACTTCTTACGATACCAAAAGATATTGAAAGTTAATAGTTAGCTCGCCAAGTATTACAAACCCGTTTTTTGGATGGTTTGTCAAATTTGGGTAGAGTTTTCCCCTAATTAGGACGATGCCAAAAACTCGAAGAAGCTTTATACCGAAAAACAACATTTGCGATGTGTACTCACTCATCTTCCAACAGCGATAACACTGCATGTGGGTCAGGTACTTTATAGAGCAGGGATGGCGAACCTTTTTCAATGAATGGGTCAAAAATTATACTTTTATCGCGGAACAGAAGAGAGTGGGTCACAGATATTTAATTCACGTTTGTATCTATAAGAAACTTCTGAAACGAATCTTATAAGCTGGTGTTGCTGTAGTTTTGGGCTTTACTTATGCAGGACTTCTATCAGGGACTTTTTATGGCACTCGGTTTTATGATATTAGAGTATGAAAATAACGCATATGAATTACCAAAAACGTTTAGGATAATGCCGTAAATTATTTTACGGTCCTAGTGTTTGGAGGTAATTCCGCTTTGATAGTGTTATAATTTTAGATCAGCTTCCAACCACATTAAGCCACTTCTACACTGCCCCATTGTTATATCGGATTTCTAGATTTTTATTTCAAGTTTGAAAGTTTGTTTTCACAACGGCATTGTAGGCGAGAAACTAATAAAATGCAAAGTAGCATCTAGTTCTCGTATAACCCCTAAAACAGTCTGCAGATGCACTTCCAAAAAAGACAGGCGTTGCGAGAAATGAACAGATCAATTGCATTGATATGTCATAAACGATGTCAGGCCCAATAGCTGAATAACGGTACACAGCGGTGCATACATGCGTACAAGATTAGGGGTTTTGAAAATCACCATACCGGCCCGAAATCAACATTTTGAACATGAGCGATCGCAGCCCTCCCTCACTGTCCAACTGACGGTACATTATAATAGTTTAGTAATTGTTAGATTAATTTAAAGCCGGTTTTATCAATTTTTATCACTGATATGTTAGCATTTTTTATTTTATTTCATTCGTGCCTTCGCTTGGCGGGTCACAAATAAAACGCGGTGGTTTGCCATCCCTGTTATAGAGGGACCGCTCTCTAGGTCACAGTCTAGCTAGCCCGTAGCCTCTTCATTGCTACCCCGTAAAATAAAAAATTCCAACCATCAAAATGCCGTGCATTGTTCATTCTGATGGTGCTATGCTTCATTCTGATGTCGCTATGGTTCTTGTCGTTGTGGCTCTGATGACTGCATTTCGGGTCATCCCTGCGTTTAAAACCCGAACCTCCTCCGACTATGCTAGTGCTCAGCTGAGTGAGTTTATGGCGGGAAGTTACGTTTCATCGGGAGGCGAGCCCTAATCGAGACTTCCAAAATCGCAATAACTCTTTTGCGCTGAAGGTAGGCTTACCATACGTCCCGCTTTAGGCGGGACAGTCCCGATTTTTAGCGTCTTGTCCCGCCGTCCCGACAAGTCAGCCAGAAGTCCCGCTTTGGCGTTCAGCCATCCAACATAATACACGAACTTGTTCTCGTTGCTGTGTAGCGCAACGCTAGCGTACTTACTGAGGGAGAATGCGGTATTTTGTTTGTTTCGTTGTTTCCCTCTAACATTGCTAGCAAACGTATCACATGTAAAATCAATTGTAATTGGAGCTGTTCGGGTCATCACGTGAATGCAACATTGAACAACGTCTTTTTGAAGTTGGTATCTACAGAAAAGCATGCTTGGGCGATGAAGTAAATTCTCAATTCCTGAAAACGGCAGAGTATTTCAATATTCTTTATTCCTTCTATTTTACATGAAAAAATCTAAATTTGGATTATTTGTATCGTTAGCGTCTGTTTTTTTTCTATTTTTCACACTGAACCCGATATTTAGACAGAGAATATGCGCATGAACTCTCGATGAAGACAGCCGGGATGGCTTTAAATGTAGGACTATGTAGTGAAATCGGAAACTGTAAAGTTAGAGAAGGCGTCCCGCTTTGAAGTCAAAAAAATAGTCGTTGCCCTAGCTAAAGGGACGATGTTTTGGGGCGTATGGTGACCTGTGGACGCAACTATCTCCAATTAGTTGTCGTATGGGGCTTTGCTAAGCGATATCTTTGGAGGGCAACTCCACGATAACCACTAACAATCTCCTGATCGAGAGCAGCGATAAGTTTCATTATATGCCAAACTCCTTGTGGTTAAGGCAGCGAGTCGAGCTTCGACACCACGGGAAGACAGTTTTCTGCCACTGGCGCGGCGGTGTGGCTCAACGGGCTAAGCGTTAGGAATACGCTCGCCACCGCACCTCTAATTACTCTGCGTGGGTTCGCAACCCATGCAGGGATGGTTATGTGCGAGAGGATTGCTGGACTCCTCGCCGTCGTTGGGTGGTTCACGTAACCGCTGGTCGGTTATGGCTTCCTCCACCACCAAGTCCATGCTTCCGAAAAAACAAACAATATAACTAATCCCATACCAGACTTGGAATTGTAACCGGACGAGAGGCCGCGGTTCGCCATATGGATAAGCCGTCTTATCGGCTTTCCTCTCCCCCGGGATAAATATGTAAATCCTATCCTCCCGGTTTGGTTGCTCAAACCCCTAGCGCTCGACGTCTGTCCTACTTCGTTACTGTCATACTTTTCGTGGAAAAAATCAAAATGAAAGACAGACACAGGAATCATAATTGAATCATTAAATTTTCTGTGTCTATTTGTGTAAAACAGAATTAATTAATTGTGTCTATTTGTGTAAAACAGAAGTAATAAGGAAAATAATAAAAACAAGTTGATGATGCTCATATTGAGCAGCCCCTCAGCACCATTTCAGATTATAAAATATGCAACCGGAAAAAAGTCGTTAAATTTCTTCTTCTTTCTTTTTCCTTCTGTAATTAATGATTGTTGTTGAGCTTAATTTTCAAATCTTTGTTAAACATGACATGGGCGTCATTATCTCAAAAATGCATTGTTCTAAACCAAGTTAACATCAGAAATAGCAGAGCCAGGACAATAAATAAGGTTTGTTGTTGATCTATTCATAAACAAAGACACAAGATGAAAAATTGAAACATTTCTATTGCAATACGTTGCTACTTAAAGACTATTGTCACTAATAAATAGCTAAAATGGAAAATGATGATTGCAAACTGTCCACATGGCGAGCAGCCGCCAATCGGAGATTTTTGCGAAATTGAGATATTACTGAAACGTCTTTATTAGCAATTCACCAGACAAAATGAAACAAGGTTTTAACAATAGTGCAATATAGAAAACTTTTAGAGTTTTTCAATCAAGTAATAATTTATCTTCGACTTATATTCGTCTGTTTCACCAAAATATTTTTGACATTTACTGTCATATATGATAAATACAGAATCCCAAAATAGTAGAGTGTAGAATTACCGTTTTTGTTATTTAAGCTTCACAGATAGACACATGTTTTCAACTAATAGAAGCAAGAACGCATCTTTGATAAACCAAGTTCTTTTCATGAATAAGATCTCAGTCTCCGCCCAACCGTTGACCAGCACCACCCCATCTGTGAGCAGCATCATCAGCTGGTGCAGCACGTCGAGACTGTGGTGCAACACCAAACCCTGATACAGCACCTCGCATGTTGGGAAAGTATTTATATCTGGTAAATAAAATAAGATTAGCAATTTAGTCATATAAAGAGTGGCAAAAAAATGAAGAAAAGTTATTGATCATTCGCTGCAAATTATACTATTCATTCTGCACTCGTTTTGTGTTTCTGATTTCTGATACCCTTTTTCATACACTGCTAATTTTTTAATCTTAATTCCACAAGCATTAAAAGTTGATAATAAAAATGGTAGACGACAATGCATCCAAATGTTCGTAACAAATAAACATTACTCACAAAAACTGAGGTGTTTCCAATAATGCTCTTCCACCAAAATCTTGAGGATATTTAAATTTCAAAAAGAAGTAAAGATGACCAACAAATATACCAAGTAGTTCAGACATTCCCCTGGAATGCAAAATAATGTAATATCTCTGTATGGCCAATTAGTATTTGAATATAGTTGAAATAAAAAATTCAGTTCTTAGTACTTACCCTCCTCTGATAATCATGTTGAATGCAAACAAAACCCATGGTAAGTAAGCGGCCTGGAAAATAGAGTAAATGTTTACAGTTTTGAAGCAAACAGCACAATTTAATATTATTGGTATTTTTAAATTTGAATGAAATAAATTATGTGAATACAGTGTGAAAATCTTTAGTCAAAATGAAATCATAAATTTACATAACATGAAATAGACACTCAATACACAATTATAATTGTCTAAATTTCTACAAATAAACTCACCTTAAACCTGGTTCCAAACCAGAATGATACAATTTGATCGCGATTTATTTGACACCAAACGTACAAAGCAGAGAAAATGAGTAAATCAAACATGATCTAAAAATAAATATATAAGTAATGAAAATCATTTTTAATGTGCTTATAAATGCTCAGCACTGGTGACATTATAATGTTGGATTACTTTGATGAACTCCAAAACTGAGTGTGTGAGTCTTAGTCTTCTAGATATTTTAAGCATATTGAAATGATGAAAGCAAAATTAAATTAACTTACCCTGATTTCCAGAGCCAATGCCAATCCCTGAATTAAAAAAAAGCTGGTATGGTTAAATTAATTCAGATGGGCAGAATGAAAAAAATGCATGGCTTAATTTGCTCCTACGAAATGTAATAAGTTATTATAATTTTCAAGTTTGAATGAAAAAGTCAAGAATTTATATGTATTAAAATTTTTCATGAATAAAGCCAAAAATGTAAAACATAGAAACATTGAATAATCAATAAAATTTGAATGCATAAATCCTAATAATAAGGAACATGATATTTTCAACTTTTTTTGAGAATAAATTGACTACTCAGTCATCATAAATTGCGATTGTCGAATATAAGAAATATGGTAAATTTGAACAGAACCGAAAAGTGATTCAATACTTGGCCAAGTAGATCACTTACGATTCATGCTTTGAGAAATGTAAGAAGGTTACTACTATAATTTCAACAACTACAATCAGGTATAGAGCAAGGCTACATTCATGAAAATAGTTCCTACCACTGTAGTAAGCCATGTGAAAGCAAGCATGAAAACATAGTCTGCAGGTCTCCCTTCAAATATACCTGTATGTAAATGTATAAATGAATTAAATATAGAAAGAATGCGCCGTGTGATTAAGTCATCCAATCGGCTTTCCTCTCCCCTGTGATAAAATATGAAACTAAAATATTAATTTCATAATTTCTGGTAGCAGACGACAAAATGGTAATACCAGGATGAACCAAAAAGAAATAGTCATAATAAACATTATTTATAAAGCAATATAAAATGTGACCTCTGCTAAAAACAATTGAGATGATGAACAAGGATTATTATGATGTGTAATAAAAAATTAGGTAAGAAAATTAATCACCAGTTTCAAGTCTTGTTGAATAACTGTACAAAAAATATAACATAATGAGATAATGAAAACCAGTCATCGGTGTTATTGGGTAATAAACAGCAGCAGTGAATGGACGCCATATCTGAAACAAGGAGTGAAAGAAAGTATAATTATGGTCAATATTTTAACATTTCTATACATCAAAAATTAGTATTAAAATATATAACAAATTACCTGAAATCTACTGAATAAACTGTACCAATCCAAGATCAAATGCATTCCATTAATAATGTTAAATTTGGCCACAAGTGGAACTACAACTGATGCACTGAACCTGAAAAGAGAATATGTGTAAAATAATGGTATATTCAGATATTACAGAACAGCAGTACTACAGCAGTACAGTGTGATGTTGGAAGTACATGAGGTATAATCAGCTAGGCAACCGTACTGGTAGATAGGCACAGTACTATATAAT